TTGAAGCAAAGGTTCTAAAGCCAAGCTACGCACCATTACTATAACTCGGGACTGCAGCTCACAGTACCATTGCCACCGAGACCTATTATTTTGCTTATTTACAAAAGCCCTCCGGTCTACGATATAGGTCCGAAGATACAAGCTTAGCATGTCAGACCCCTTCGACAAAGAAGGTATCTATGAAGACCACAGGAGGAATAATAGTCTGTACTGACGAGCTGCTCAGACCAATAGACCCTTTAGCGCGGGTATGTTTACGCTTTCGCTCCCTTTCAGACCTTTTTCCCCTTCTCTTTGTGGAGGAGGACATGACTCAGCCAGATTCGGGACACGGTCCAGTTGAGGATTTCGGTTCTCTTCAACCGATGTACCACTAAGAGCACGTTCTCTCATCGCATGACGATAACCCACACTGAGTCCCCTTTGTGCCATTATGCCTACAATAAAAACCAAAAGTCAAATCAATATAATCCGGTGTCCAAATTTAAGAATAAAGTGACAAAGCATACCCTCTATATCCAAGCGAGGCTTGGGGGATTTCGGGAAAAGGATGAAAACTCGGGTAGGGAGTTCACGAGGAAGAGATTTTATATACTCCAATGCTGATAATTCTCCTAGGGTCAACATCTCTTCCAAGTACACATCATATCGACGAGGGACTCGAGTCCAATGAAAGGGAAAAAGTGATCTATCTTCATTATCAAAAAAGTATTTTTTACCGATAGGGTGGACGGTTACTTTAAAGTAGCTAGTTTTAAAACCTTGAAAGAGGAGGTATAAGGCTTAAAAGGGGCAGCTCAGCCTGCCTTATTAGTGATACCCACTTTGCCTTGTTCGAAGAACGGGTACAAAAAAAATGAAGAAACAAACCTACGCTAGACTCTATATAATGAAATTTACATAAGATTTTGAATGCATGCATTGTCGCCCACTCGTTCGGGTGAAGTTGTGTCGACACAACATTCAATACCCTCAACACACCCATTTGAAAATCATCAAACGAAAGTTTTATACCTAATTCCCTAAACATATATTCATATACAAAGAAGGTGTCAACCATCTCGGCACCATCACTTAAAAATACTAGTTTGGGGTCTCCTGAGCCATCCCCTCGACAGACACTGATAATTATCAGATAGGCATCCGAAGCCTTCCATAATGATATGGCACATTTGTAACACCTTCATTTTTGTAATTTATTATTATTGTAATTAATGTTAGTTGTTTGTGCATGTTATTAGAAATTAGAAATGTTTAATTGATGTGAACTGTAGGATATCTCGCTATAACGAGACAAATCTTGCTGTAGTGAGAATGAGGCGGTGAAAATAGAACCTTCTAAAGCCCTCTCGCTGTAACGAGGATGCTCTCGCTGTAGCGAGAAAGTCGCGAGTTTGAGAGATATTTAAAGAACTCTCGCCCTAAAATCTTTATTTTCAAGCAAATCACGTATTCCTCTCTATTCTGTTTGTTCTCTTCCTTTCCCTTCTCAGAGAAAATCTCCAATAACTCTGAATCTCCTTCAGATTTGAGCTCAAACATCCGTTCTTCTCAGATCTAAGTAAATTTCTAGAGCTCATCTTATGAATCTCCTTCCTATTTCTTTTTTCTCTTTTTCATAATAGAAATATTCCTTGTGATGTTAAGAATAACTCTAGTCCTTGGATAGTATGTTAGATCGAGACGTGGAGTTTCTCTTTAGAGCACATGAAGAACATAGTTTTTGAGATCCATTTCTAGGTAAGGGGAGTATTTTTGAGCTATATTTTTATTTTTATATGTAGTGACACCATGAGAGCTAAAGTAACCTATTTTGTAATAATCTATAAAATTTTTATGAAACTATATGGTAAAAGTGAATTTTTTTAGTATAAAGAAAGGTTATGAGTTTATTGGAAATTACTAGAATCAAATTCTTAGCAAAAGTCATGAGCTAGAACAATACTAAGAAATTTTATAATTATGTTACTTGAGATGTATACGAGTTAGGTAATAAAAGACATAAAATACTAAACTCTAGGTTAGAAGATTCTATTAAGACTGAGAAAATATGACCTTTGGTGAATTATTATGAAATTGCACGAGTTGAACTAAGTTCAAAGGTGTCCGACCTTCGACATATTGTTTGGTTATATGCTGTGAGATTTGTGGTAGACTAATATATTGTACTGATTGTATGATATGATGTTGAGTGACAACTTTCTATGTTAGATTGGCATGATGCAATAAGTATAGATATGAATTGATAGTTGGAATGTATTCAGATTAAGTAAGTTCACATGAATAATTGAAATGCTGATTTATTTTGAAAGTATGTGAAGTATGAAAAAGAAGTAATAAGATGCATGATTATGAATCGTGAGTCAGAATAACTTGAAAGGGTGATTACGATATATATTATAGTATGTTGAAGGTGTATTATAAAATATATTGTGATCCACAAATTTATATAAATCTGAACTCACATATTATAACATGCTGATTGATAAAAGAATATGGAAATGAGAAATGTTGAGAAAGAGAAAGAGAACAAGTATAGATAGTACAGAGATACACTGGGGGTATAGAGTTTGGAGAAGATTTGAGAAATCTTGAGGAAATAAGGATGGTGAATGCTAATGAGAAAAGGGTGCACAATAATTTGATTAAAAAAAAATAGACATTCACAGCCACACCCTCATTTCCTGACAAAACTCCTAACTATACCTTTGCTAAAAGGGGTTAGGGCGGCACACGTGTATTCGTGATGTTGCGGCCAACCAACAACTATCTATATTAGGAAGTCCTCAAGGGATCCCAGGAGCAATTATTATGAAAAGTGTTATAGATGTGATATGGTATAGAATATGTATGATTATAATATATGTATCATAGCAGATCGATTTATGTTGTTATGATATGTGTGTTATAATACATCGACGAGTATGACTGAGACACATGTATTGTGACATATTAATTAAAACGATATGATACGTGTATAATGAGTGAATTGTTGTATATGCTTTGATTGATGGTTGTCTTATTGCATGTGCTTGGATATGATAAGTTTCAATATGAGTTGTTCACTATTGGTAATGAATTTGAATAGGATATTAGGCAATGACTTTAGTTCTTTTAAGATAATTTATAATAAAAGAGACTTAGTGGAGCAGGAAATACTCATCCTTACTGATATTTTCAGCTAATGAAAGAAAGAAGACAGAGATAGTTGATCTGTTCTAGGGTCATACTCGTCAAGGATTATGGGAAAGGAACTGCTCAAATATAATTAAATTAAATGTAATAGATGTATAAATCTTTTGATGTATCTTATTTCATTGATAGACAAATTTTGAATTTGATAAATTTATCAAATTTTATTAATTGGTATTCCCATATTATACTATTTCTACAAAGTTGTACAAATTATTACTAATTTTCTTAATAATATTTTTAATAATGTAAATTATTTAAAGGAAATTATTTAAAGAAAAGAAGGACGTTACAACATTGATTTACAAAGGCTTGTAGTTGCTTATTTTATTGGAAGCGCAAGTTACTTCACTGTCCACCCGTTTGTAACCAGGAATTGAGCAAGACGAAAATTTGGGCCTTTCTCTAGGAGGAATAGCGTTTAGCAGCGACTCGCTCGACTCAAGGCTCTCCTCATCAGCATTAGACGATTTAGCTTCATCTCCAAAATCCCTAACAATACCGACTAATCAAGAAGAAACATCTTCAACCCTTTCGGTCTCACGCAAATTGCCTAAAAGGAGTCCTCCCACTCGATTGAATCAGCCATAAGAGAATAAGAGAAGAGAAGAAAAGGGAAAAATGAAACAAGCTACCTTAAAAGTCTAAAAGCGAGAAACCTCCAACAATTTAGCAGAATGTACCCCTAGGTGCATAACAGAAAGCGTACATAATACTTGGACCACCACATATTTATAGAACATACAATTTCGAGCAGATGAAGGGTCACATCCTTTTCAACTGTCAGATCTCTTCCAGATTAACGAATACGAATGACCAATCTTTCATTTCAACACACTAAGTATGCCTAATTTATAGAAACCCTAAAATATCAACATATTAAGCCAGGGAGGCATAATTATGTCTAACAAAACGGTCTTTTCACATAAAACAGGAATCCAAATACTTATTCGGTTGGAAACCAACATATTTTAAACCAAATACCCCATCAGTTACACTGAACATACCATTTTTCACCTAAAAAAAATATCATAGTACCGAAAATGCCAACAGACCTTAAGCCCTTAAGTTATACGTCCTCAAGTTTAGGGGGCTAGTATACTGGATAAGACATCACTCGATTATAATAGAAGAAGGAATCTGAGTACCTCTTTGGCATAAAGGACAGACATCCCTCCGATCATATCAAAATAATTTAATAAAAGTAATTAAAGATAATTAAAGAGATTAAGGTAGATAATCATCAATTATCTAATTAAACAGAAAGCTTAAAATAGGGCTAAGTCATAAAGCCCATTAGTCCAAAATCTTACCTATAAAAGAAAGGTAAGAGGTATAGGTAAAATGTGTACTTTTGAATAGTAAATAACATTTATTACCTAAATCGACACCTGATTTTATTATTGGAATGTCTTTTGCAGGTACCCTCCCATGTTAGATAAAGAAAAATTTAACGTATATGTGAGAACGTCATGTCGTAAGATAAAAAAAAAAAAAAATTATTGTATTTTTAACATGAACAAATATAATAACAAGTAAAAAAATTAAAATGAGATAAAAAAATAAGTATAAAAATATTATCATTGTTCTAATTAGTAAATTAATCTTTTGATAAAGTAGAGTTTAAGTAGAAACCACAGATATTATGAGTTCACATAATACCAACCAGCACATCTGGTTGACGCTTCCTAACGCCACGTGTCTTCCAACCACAATTCCATCTCTATAAAGGCATCCCCTGCCCCCATTATACAACTTAAGCTGTGCACTCCGTCCCAGAACACAACCACTAATGTGATTCCTTCTCCATCACCTTCCATTCTAATTTCTCTTCAGTTAAATTTCCGAAACACAGAAACTATGTTACTAGAGCCACCAAGCCCTTTGCCCCGACCCAAACTCGGAGCCATCTTACACTCCGACCCTCCGTCACTTCACAACCGCGAATGCTGCAACGACAGCGACGACGATTTCTACCAACAGCAACGCCCCAGCAACGCCACGTGGAGCCCCCAATACAGCACAACTAAGAACAGCAGCAAAACTTTTTCCCCTTACTCGCTCTCACCGTTCAACAACCAACCCAACCTAGCACCCCTCACCATGTCTCCATGGAACAACAACTCCTCGTTACATGACGGCCTGGTGGGGTCCATTGTTCGCGAAGAGGGACACGTGTACTCCTTGGCGGTTTCGGGAGACTTATTATACACGGGTTCCGACAGCAAAAACATAAGAGTGTGGAAGAATCTCAAGGTCTTCGCCGGCTTCAAGTCCAGAAGCGGTTTAGTCAAATCCATAGTGATTTCGAACGAGAGAATCTTCACCGGTCACCAAGACGGAAAAATCAGAATTTGGAAGGCTCCACTGAGTGATAACCCAAACCAAACCAACCATACGCGCATAGCAAGTTTACCAACTTTCAAAGACTATGTCAAAAGTGCCATGAACCCCAAAAACCGCGTCCAAGTTCGGCGGAATAGGAACGCTGTTAGGATAAAGCATTACGACGCCGTTTCGAGTCTGAGCCTGGACGAGGAGGAGGGTTTGTTGTACTCTGCCTCGTGGGACAAAACGGTTAAGGTGTGGAACGTGTGGGATTTTAAGTGTTTGGAATCTATTGACGCTCATGGAGACGCGGTGAATGCGGTGGTGGTGGGGTTCGAGGGGCGCGTGTTCACGGGCTCCGCCGACGGGACGGTGAAGATGTGGCGGAGGGAGGGTGAAGGGAGGAGGAGAATGAAGCACGTGCTGGAAGAGGTTTTGTTGGATCAGGAAAGCGCGGTGACGGCTCTGGCGGTAAACCGGTGGTGCGCGGTGGTTTACGGTGGATCTTCCGATGGGGCGGTAAATTTTTGGGAACAGCGGGAGAAGGAGGGTGGGGTTTGCCACGGCGGCGTTTTGAGGGGGCATAAGTTAGCGGTTCTGTGTGTTGCGGTTGCAGGGAATTTGGTGTTGAGTGGATCAGCTGATAAGAGTGTGTGCGTATGGAAGAGAGAGGAGAGTGGGGTGCACACGTGGCTTTCGGTTCTCGCTGGACACACTGGGCCTGTTAAGTGCATCGCTGCGGTTGAGGAAGAGGAGAAGTGCATGGTGTATACTGGGAGTGTCGACAGGTCTGTCAAGGTGTGGCGCGTGTCTATGAACGCGCCGGAACTCAGAATTTGTAGGAGTCACATTTCTTTGACTCCTTTGGGTCAGATTGGTGTTGGATCAGAAAAATATGAATGAAAGAGGTAACGATGACAAGTGTGACCACTGATATAATTAAAAATATATTAAAAAAATGGTAAGGAAAATTAATATTAAACAAAATTAGAGCTGAATGTTTATCTACTTAAGAAGAAAAATTAAAGAAAGAATCTCAATTTTCTCAAGTTTAAGTCTAATTGTTTATACTAAAATTATATGTTTTCATTATTATATATATTTTTGTTTTTCACAAGTGTAAAACGAATGGTGACAAGTGTTTAAACGTTTCTAACTCAGTTGCTATATTTACATTTCCTCTCATTTTCCTTTCATCAGTCCCTTCCCTCCCAAAATGTTTGCGCTGTTACGCTTCCAGGGAACGTGAATAAATCTCCATTTTTTTCTTTTTGGCAATGAACTGGGATCATATGCAGCAATATATATAATAGGAAGTAAAAGAGACATTTCAAACAGCGGCAAACACTCACAAAATTTTGTTTTGTCATAATGTGTAGCTATTTTATGGGAATTAAATTAATTAATTAATTAATCAGCATTGCTACTAAAAGAAATTGGGAAAATGTTTGACAGACAATTCTTGAAATATCTACACTTAGATATTAAATATGTTAAATAAGTATTTAAATTACTTTGATGTTTATGAATCAAAGTTGAAAAATATTAATGATCACAAATGTCATTATTTAACGGTTTAAGACTTGTGGTGGGTGCATAGGTAGAACGATTATGGGGATGATTGGGACATGAGGCTTACTCTGAATGAAGTCAAGGGACCCATTTGATTTTTTTCCCCACTGGGGAGCACTTGGATTTGGCTGCTTGTGCGATTGATTGAGTGAGATGCTGAAAGCTATGCACATTGATGCCTTCAAAGAAGGGACTAATGGTAGCCTCTATGGCACGGCTACTTCACTTATATCCGACACGTACCGGTACCACTACACAAATAACTAATTATACCTTAAGTGCTAGTTAGATAATTTTTCTTTTTAAAATAAATACTAATTTTAATAAATTTATATAAATTATATTTTTCTCTCCATTTTTTTTATCAAAATTAAATCATTTATTCTTACGTATAGTACATGCCATATGAGTTTATTAAATTCTTTATTATAAATATTTTTATGGCAATCTACTGACATTACCTTTAATTTTTTGAAAATTGTGGCATGAGTATATCAATCGGACCCGTCATGCAACATATCATAACGTTACATACTGGCATATGGGACAAGTCAAGTGCCAAAAATGGCCAAAAAATGAAAGCTATGGTTATATATCATGTGTGTTCTTAAATGAAGGGGTAGAATAGGTAGCTATACATCATATGCAGCTTGCATATGGATCACCTGCCTTAGATTTGTAGTTCGTGCGTTATTGGCTTGACCACGTTTCCTGAGGCTTTGTCAACTATGTTTTTGTTACAGTTTGACAACCACCTCCATTTAATTGTGAATATATATATATATATATATATATATATATTTTTACACCATCATCATTATGTTATTATTAATATTTGATGTAATAATAATTTATATAAATGTTTTGTATTAAGAGTATTAATATAGCTCTAAAATATTTAGATTAATATTAATAATTTAATTAATTTATATATATATATATATATATATAAAGTTGGCAGCATACTAAAAGTTTGTTGATAATTAACATAAATTAGATTTAAAAGAGAAGGAAAAGAAGAGGTAAATTTTTCTCTTATTTAAATGTTGAATATTAAAAAGGAAGAGTAACAGAGAGTTTAACATGTAAATGACATTATATTTTTTATATTTTTTTTATTCATATATTTTATATATATATTTTTAAAATAAAATAATATTTTTCTTTAAAAATTAATATTTTTAAATTTTTTATAATTTTTTTAAAAAAATTCTCACTCTAAAAACTAACATTTTTTTGGAATTTTTTTATTTTCTTATTTTTTTAACTCTAAACTATGTTAAATATTTAATCTAACAAATAAAAATATAAATGATAAATCTCTCTACATTAGTCAATAAACTCTCCAAAATGAGGGAACTCAAATGCCAAGTTAAAAGATTTTGGAGTATAGAAAACCTCTTTAACCATTTCCCTCATTTTTAATTAATTTTTAGACAAGGGTTATTGACCACTAACCTCCCCTTTCTCTCCTTAACATGAAATCCAAACAAAGCCTTAAACTATAGTGATTTGTACTTGGAATAAGATTCTCATGTTTGTTGGAAGTATATTTGGGCTACTTTGAGTTGAAAAAAATATAAAGATGAAAAATGTATGAGTTTCTCACTTTTTGACAAGTTTTTATGAAAAATTGTTGGCCAAAGAAAACATTAATTTTTAGTCAAAAGAGAGGTGAATTTTTGACTTTTTAGAGAAAATATGGCCATAGAAAAACATGATTGTTTCTCAAAATAAAGAAAATTTGAGATTCACTTTGAGAAACATGGTTTTGGTCAAAATGAAGTAACATTTTTGAGGACTGTTGGCAGTTTCATGAAAGTTTGATAGATAAGTTACAAGTTGCAAAAATGTCCAAAGTTAGTCAAAAGATAATGTTTTCAAAGTGGTTTTTTATAGCTTGTCATTTGTAATATGTGAAGTCAAGAATGCATTAAAGTCCACTTTGTTGAAGGGAATGGATCAAGTATTTCTCTCAAAATATCTCAAGTGACAAGACTTTTTAGGGAGAATTTAAGATTTGTCTTGATGATTTGAAGTGTCAAAACAGTTATGAGCATTTATAACTTTAGACACTTGGCAAAAATCATGGATGAAACATGACAACGATTACAAGATGTTTTAGGTAGTTACATTGGATAACAACATGTTCTAGGCAATTGTAATATTATATTTATAAATAGTTTTTTATTTTTCATTGTTGGGGATTTACGACTTTTATACTAAAACACTTGCACTCAAAATCTCTACATTGCCAAAGTTATGCATTGGTAAGACCTAACAGACAAGAGATCAATAATTTTGTGTTGATTGTTGTTCAAAAGTTATACATTCATTTACTGCAATTTAATTTCAATATCAGTTGTTACTTTATAATCTTTTAATGCTTTACATTAAGATTATTATGCAATTCTTTTTCTTCTTCCACCATTTCTATTTTAATGTTACCTTTCTTACAATGTTAATTTCTTACTACGAACACAATATGAAGAACCCGTAAAAAGGATCTAAAATTTAATCTATGATTCTTTTTAAATTTATTTGTTTACTAAAAATTCACCGTAAACAAACTAGTAGGACCATTGAATTAGTGTGTTTACATTAATGTTGTTTGCATATTATTGCCATTTTTATGCATGTTATTGCGTAGTGAAAGTTGTGTCATGACTCACAACAATAACATAAATAGAGGTAATAACACTGGTAATGGTAATTCAAGAAATTCACATGAGGATAATAGTACTAGCCCAGAAAATAACAATGACAATGTTAATACTGCCATAAATATGGTGCTAACCATGATATTACCAACATCCTCATTGTCAATAGTTAGTCAATTAATAGTTACTTTACGTAATCCTGATGTATGATCCAGTCAGAGGCTTAGGCAAAACCCATCTTATTGTCTACCTCCTGGGTTTGTTCCATCAATTCTAGGTGTAACACCCTCATTTTTCATTTCCTTTGTTTAATGAAAATAGGAATTTTGGTGTAGGTTTTCTTGTTCAAGCAAGAAATGATAATATCACCCCAACTGTTCCCTCACCCAAGTAAGAAGGGTCTCACTCAAGCAAAGTCGTATGGAAATTAAAAAACTCTCTGAACCCATGAGCAAGAATACCTCTCGTGTAACACTTTAATTTAATTTTCAAATAAGAAATTTCACAAAATGAGAGTAATAAAAATTTCATTCAAATAGTCTTCCAATACACAATTTCATTAAAGTATTTCAAAACAAGGATGAATTACAAATTTGAATCAATTATTGCTACATGACTTAATTAATACATTTTAGTTCCAAAAATAAATATTCTAAGCCCTATAACAGTATCATTCATCCCTTCATTGAGCCCGATATTGATTGTCTTAGTCACCTAAAAAATAAATGTAAGAGTGAGTACTTTACACTATCACACACAAGCACAAAGAGTCACCTCACTTTGCACATTTCACAACAATTACTAATATGATAAAATTACATTTAAACAAGCATCAATCCATTACTTTCAATAATACTCATACATAATTGCACATCAATTCACACACAGGTGCGCTCATTGCACCCTCAATCATTTCACCTAATATGTGCGCTCACTGCACATTAGCCACGCTCACTCTAATCACAGATTTCTAATGCCCTCAACCTCAGGGACTTACTCAGTTCACACCATGGATGGTCGCCGAATAGCTCCTGCTTCACAAATACAACGTGTGCGGTATTGAGCCCCTCAAGTAAAGGTGTTAGTCAGAAACCGAGTCAAGAGGAGAGTGTGTGGCCTATGGTGCACCCACGCTCACTGTTGGTGTCACCACCACCCTCTCTTTCTCAAGGTATTTCTACTGCCCACATCTTCCACACCCTTAGTGTATCGCTGAATCATTCATAGTTTCCAATCAATTCAAGCTCAATCACACTCAGCATGTCATTCACACACATTCCACCTATTTCATATTATTCAATGTCAATCAATGGCATGCCCACACATTTCAACCACATTGTAACCAACCATTTCACCACACATCACATATAATATCAATCACACTGTATTTCACACAAAGTTTCCATTACAATCCAATCGTAATCAAACCATTCTATCACACACAACACCTAACAATTGTCATATCATGTTTCATATTCCATCAAACACACATTTCTCCTACCTTTTAGCTCAATCACATTGCCACATATAGCAAAATAAACAAATTTTTAACAAAATGAGATAGGGTAGAGTCCTTTCTTTACCTCAGATTGAAGACCCAACACGAAATCTATAATGAAAATACTCCCCACACGAACTTTCATTCTAAATATAGGAAAAATCCTATGATAA